GCTTTATTTTTCTCATAACAATTATCTTCCTCGGAGGACATTTTTTTTTTTTTAATATATTTTTTATTGATTTTTTACAGAGAGGAAGGGAGAGAGATAGAGAGTTAGAAACATCGATGAGAGAGAAACATCGATCAGCTGCCTCCTGCACATCTCCCACTGGGGATGTGCCCGCAACCCAGGTACATGCCCCCGACCGGAATCGAACCTGGGACCCCTCAGTCCGCAGGCCGACGCTCTATCCACTGAGCCAAACCGGTTTCGGCCTTCGGAGGACATTATGTTACCCACTTGCCTGTTTGGACATGATCTGAGCCCCATCAGAATATAAGATCTATATTCCTGGGAATTTGGGTTGGCTCACCTTGTTCCCCAGCACCGGCACAGTGCCCAGCCCACAGCAGTATTTGTCCTGTGAAGGAGCGACATGATTGCATGCCATTTCCTCCCACCACTGTGGACCATGATGGGGGAGCCATGTCCCACGACTAGGCCAACCCCTTTATTACTGCCCAACCTGTCTAGGTGACACCTGCCCTGGTAATCTTCTGATGATGGGAAGGCTGTGCCTTCTGGCCTGGAGCCTCCTGGAATGTTATTACAGCTCATTCTCAATCTTTGGCTTTTGGGGGCATCCTATCTAATAAAAGAGAAACATGGTAATTAGCCATACCACCGCTATCCTTCCCATTGGCTAATCAGGACAATATGCAAATTAACCGCCAGCCAAGATGGCGGTCGGCAGCCAGGCAGCTTGAAGCGAACATGAGGCTTGCTTGCTTCAGTGACGGAGGACTCCAACGTTCCCTGCCTGCCGCTGCCAGCCTCTGAGCTTGCAGTTTGAAACATTCTTAAAAATATAGAAGCTAAACAAAACCCCAGAAACCTGCTTTCAGCCAGCCGGGATCTCAGAGCTGGAGTTGAAACAGTGTTTGGATTATAGAACCCAAACAAACCAGATACCTGCTTTCAGCAGCAGAGGCCTAAGAGCTGGAGCCAAGCCTCAGAGCTAAAGCTGGCCCAGAATAAAAAACAAGAAAAAAAGGAGCAGTTGGGAGCTTCAGTCACCTGCCAGCCTGAAAACAGCCCTCAGCCCCTCACCCAGACTGGCCAGGCACCCCAGTGGGGACCCCCACCCTGAAGGGTGTGTGACCAGCTGCAAACAGCCATCATCCCCTCATCCAGGCTGGCCAGGCACCCCAGTGGGGACCCCCACCCTGATCCAGGACACCCTTCAGGGCAAACCAGCCGGCCCCCACCCGTGCACCAGGCCTCTATCCTATATAGTAAAAGGGTAATAAGCCTCCCAGCACCAGGATCAGCATGACAGGGGGCAGCGCCCAAACCCCCTGATCGCCCTGTGGCTCTGTGTTTGACAGGGGGCGGGGCCACAACCTCCCTATCCGCCCTGCTCTGTTCATGACAGGGGAAGGCACCCCAACCCCCTGATCAGCCCTGCTCTGTGCCTGATAGGGGGGAGCTCCCCAACACCCTGATCACCCTGCAGCTCTGTGTGTGACAGGGTGCGGTGCCCCAACCCCCTGATCGGCCCTGCTCTGTGTGTGATAGGGTGCGGCGCCCCAACCCCCACCCCCCCACGGGCCCTGTTCTGTGTGTGACGGGGTAGAGCCATAACCTCCCCATCGGCCCTGCCCTGAGTGTGACAGTGGCAGCGCCCCAACCCCCTGATCCGCCCTGTTCTGTGTGTGACAGGGGGCAGTGCCCCAATTCCCCTATTGGCCCTACTCTGTGAGTGACGGGGGGAGCTCCTCAACCCCCTGATTGGCCCTGCTCTGTGCGTGACAGGGGGTGGTGCCGCAACCTCCCCATGACCCTGCCTTGAGTGTGACAAGGGGCGGCGACCCAACTCCCCAATCAGCCCTGCTCTGAGCCCGACCAGGGGCTGCACCTAGGGATTGGGCCTGCCCTCTGCCACCCGGGAGCAGGCCTAAGCCAGCAGGTCGTTATCTCTCGAGGGTTCCCAGACTGCGAGAGGGCACAGGCCAGGCTGAGGGACCCCCCTTCCCCCCCGATTGCACAAATTTTTGTGCACTGGGCCTCTAGTGTTTTAATAATAAATGCCTATAAGGAACCCAGTTTTAGAATATTCTTCATTCCAAAGTCAAGGTTTTGGAACTTTTATCCTGTATGCTGGCTGGAAAATAACATTGGTAGAAATAAGGGTGACAAATAAATCAATCTTCCCCCCTTATTCACAGAAGTTGCTATCCTAGCTCACCCAGATTTGGCTCCCTGGCAAATTAGATGTGATATCTATGATTGTCTATTTATCTTTATTCATCTTTTAAAATTTATTTTATTTTAAAAATAATTTAAAGACTTTATTTATTAGAGCTGTTTTAGGATTACAGAAAAATTTATTGGAAAGTAGAGTTTCCTGCCTCCTCTCCCCACCCTGTTTCCCCAGTTATTAATATCTTGCATTAATGTGACACATTTGTTACAACTGACAAGCCAATATTGGCTCATTATTATTAACTAAAGGCCATAGTTTAAATTAGGTTTCATTCTCTGTGTTATATGTTCTATTAACTTTGACATCATAGTATCATACAGAATAGTTTCACTATCCTAAAAATCCCCTGTGCTCTGCCTACTCATCCCTCCGCCTAATCCTTTTTACTGTCTCCATAGTTTTATCTTTTCAAGAATGTCATTGGAATCATACAGTATGTAGCCTTTTCAAATTGGCTTCTTTCATTTAGCAATATGCATTTAAGGTTCCTCCATTCCTTTTTGTGGAATGATAGCTCATTTTTTAAATTGCTGAGTAATATTCCATTGTGTGGACATGCCACAATCTATCTACCCATTCACCTACTGAAGGACATGTTGGTTGATTTTAATTTTTGCCTTTAAATTTCTTTTTAATTAGCTCTTTGCTACATTTACTGTGAGGATGAGGACCATTCTCAGCGTCAGACTATTGACATCCCAGCAAATGTCGAAATCACTCTAAAGGGACCCACAGTTATTATGAAGGGCCCCAGAGGCACCCTGTAAAGGGACTTCAGTCACATCTACACACAGTGTAGAACTCTATCTCCGGGGGTGGGGGGTGGAGGGTTAGGGGGCGAGAGGCTTCGGGTTGACAAATGATGGGGAAAAAGAAAGGAACTGGCTACCTGCGCACCATCTGCAGTCACGTATATAACATGATCAAGAAGTTACACTGGGCTTCCCTTACAAGATGGGTGTGTGCTCACTTCCTCATCAATGTCATCATTCAGGAGAACAGTTCTCTTGCTGTAATCTGAAATTTCTTGGGTGAAAATACACCTGCAGGGTTTAGATGAGGTTAGGCATTGCTTGTTCAGTATCTCAAACCCCCCAAAATGAGTTAATTCTTGAAGGAAATGATGTTGAATTTGTATCAAATTCAGCAGCTTTTATTCATCAAGTCACAACAGTTAAAAACAAGGATATCAGAATATGTTTGGGTGGTATCTATGCTTCTGAAAAAGGAACAGTTCAGTAGGCTAATGAATAAGATTTAAGCTGTCCAGCTACAGAAGCAGCAAGATGTTGGAAGATTTCTCACATCTATTTGTGATATTTTAAAGATGCAATAAAAGCCATGTATTGATTGGGGGGAAATTATTTTTCATTATATAATTGAAACATATAGCATTCATTTCCTTCTTATTATTCCACTTCCTCCAAGTTTACCACATTCCAGTTGCTCAAATTTAGTAGCATAAAACAATAATAAACATTTAATATTTTACACAGCTTCTGAGTGCTAGGAACTTGGGAGTGACTTAGTTGGGTGGTTCTGACTCAGTTTCTCCTGAGGCTGGAGTGGAGAAGCCTACAGTCATCTGAAGGCTTAGATCCACTTGAAGGAGGCTAACCCGCAGCTGGTTGCTCCACAGCTGCTTGTCTGTTCTCACAACATGGGGGCTGGCTTCCCCAAAGCAAGTGGTCTAGGAGAGAGAAAGGGAACCCTCGTGTCTTCCATTGCCTCTCCTCAGCAGTCCCACAGTCATGGCCACAATCTCCTATTGGTTACACAGGTTACAGGAAGAGCAGGAATGGCAGGAGACCAATCACTGGGGACTATTTGAGAAGTGACTATCCTATAGAGCAACTCATGGATTTGTTTTATGGTTCTTTTGGAAATTTTTATATTTGGAAAAAATTTTAATAAACTTAAGGCTAACTGATACTCACAAAGTAAGCAGTATTAAAATAAACCCAATGCCAGTTTGTAGCAAAATATCTGTGTTGAGGAGTTTTAACCCTCATAATAATGGAATACTAAAATTATTAAATATGAATATATAGTATGAGAGTTTAAAATTTGTGTAAATTAATAAATATGCTTGAATGTGGGAATATTGCAGTAATAAATTAACTTCCACAAATTTAACATCTCACAAAAACACCCTAGATTTATCATAGTGCTGGTGATGTTCTAAGTTTTTTCTCCTTAAAAAAAAAATCGTAGTTCCCCGTATTCTGATTTATGCAAGGCTTGGTCTCATACATTTGACCCCGGGACGTTGGTCTTCGGATTATTTACAAACAAATGTTTGCTTACACTAGTGTTGTCTTTGTGAGCTCCAAGTTGAGGCTCTAGTGGTTTTGAGGTGCCACGTCAAAGTGTCCAGGAGTGAGCAGAGGAAAGATAAACACAGTGCAAGGTTCCTGCAGCAGCTGCCAGAAAGGTCTAGGACAGGAGGCTCGGCTACAGGCGCGCGCGCGCACAGGGGTCACAGGACTGCCCGTCAGCGCCTCCAGCCCCTCTCCTCACGGTGCCCCAGAGCTGTTTACTGTCCTGAACTTCACAGAGCGGAGATATTGATCGCCAGTGAGTGCAAACTTTAGAGTACAACAGTGTGATCATCCGGAAGAAAACTCACGTCAAAACACTGTGGTGTTTCCCATGTCATAGGTACACATGTCCCGTGACCACTGGCCTTGGTTCTTCCACGCTGCTGCCCTTTGCAATCACACACCCGGATCCATGGCCCATATTGAGAGTCCAGGCGTCGCAGACATTATTTAATCGCATTGGAAAGGGAATCTTGGAACAGAAAGTGGTGACAAAGGGAAGCTAGGGGAGACAAAACTACTCAAAACATCTGAGTACTTACTATGTGCAAAGCTTTACATTTCCCAAGGCATGTATCATTATCAGGTATGTTTATATTTTATGTGTTTGGGTTTTGTTTGTTTATTTGTTTTTTATGTTTGTCTCCCACTTCCAGACACTAGAATGCCAGCTCCCTGAGGCAGGGATCTGTGTCTGTTTTGTCAGCTGCTATGTCCCCAACATCTAGAAGAGTGTCTGACACATAGTACACACACAACAAACACGTGTCGGGCTAATGAATGAAAGCACTATGCTAATAGGCAATGGTAGGGAAACAATGGCTGTGTGTGCACACTTGCTGGGCGTTGTGCGAGGGTTTTCCTCTGCAGGTGGCACTGACTTACCCCATTTGACAGATGAAGAAGCTGCAGCTCAGAGAGGTCATGTAACTTGCAGAAATAGTAGCCCTGGGGTTTAAACGCAGGTATTCTCTCTCCCAGGTCTTTTTTTTTTTAATCCTCACCTGAGGATATGTTTTCCATTGCTTTTCAGTGAGAATGGAAGGGAGGGATGAAGGGAGGGAGAGAGGGAGAGGGGGAAAGGAAAAGAAGAATGGATGGTTGCTTTTAATTTTGGGTTATTAGATTGCATTCTGAGAGTTTGAACAAAATCTTTGCTGGTTAAACAAGAGACTGAACTCTTTTTAGCTCCAAAAGAGAAAGGACACTTGCTTTCCCAACCTGAATAGCCAATGGATGATGATAGTTGCTGCAGGTCCCCAAATCCAGAGTGGCAGGTGGGTGCTGAGAGTCCCAGAGATGGGTCCTGAGAGGCGTCAGTGTGGTCATGCAAACTAAAAGAGTTCTTTGTGAAGGCCGGGGCACCCAGAAGTGCATTTGCCCTGAGCAAGGGGCCTGTGTCTTTGAAGACATTGGGGTTCCAGTGGTGTCCGGTAAGGTCTTGCTGGCCCTTGCTCAGGTATTCTTAAGTGATTAAGAATCTGTGTGGAGTTGCCTGAGGAAAAATTTCCTCTAGGGCAGGAAGTGGTCCTCTAGGCTAGGGATATTCATGGCATGCGGCTCATCCAGAGACAAGCATGTAAAGGCTATTTTTTCCTAGAAGTTTGTTCAGACTCTATAGGTTGCAAAGGAGAACTAAAGGTAACATGGGAAGTCATGCCTCCGAGGCTAACAAGCCGTCCATTGATGCTTCTGCAGGAAGATGGCTGAGATGAAGATGCTTTGATACTTCTAAATTCATCTTTCTTATGCACAATTAGAAAAAGTTAGCTATAAACTTAGGCTGGATGAAAGCAAAGCATATTTCATTGGCCTCTTGAAGCTTCAAAAATTTTAGATAAATGGATCACCTATGATGTAGTTTAGGTAGCAACCCAATTTTTTGAGGTACTAAAAACAGCTGACCTGTGCTCGCCTCAGCAGCACTTATACTAAAATTGGAATGATACAGAGATCAGCATGATCCCTGAGCAAGGATGGCATGCACCTTCTGAAGTGTTCCATATTTAAAAGAAACAAACAAACAAACAAGCAAGCAAACAAGCAAAAAACAACAGCTGACCTTATTTTAAAAGGGGGAGGTCTTTTGGAACTTTACTTGTCAGGGACAGCTACAAATTTTGTCTTCTTATCTCAACTGCCAAAATAAAATTTGAATTCAACTGTTTTGTTTTCAATAAATTAGTGAGTTTTTCTCATGGTTAAAAGGTGTGTGTGTGTGTGTGTGTGTGTGTGTGTGTGTGTGTGTATTGTAAATGTGAGATAATTTTCTACCTCCAGATAGTACTGTTTAAATTAATTAAATAAGTTAAAATTAATTGATTTAAAGGCAGGCCCTTATACAAATTGAGCATTCTAAAAATTCTCAGAAATTAGAAACTAACTCAAAACCTGTTCATGATTACATGCTTTAAAATTAATCCTAGGTAATAAAAACTAGTTTAAATTTGGTTTAAGTAAGACAGACATGTCTTTATTTTACCTAGGTTTACAAAAAAATTATCATTAATGGCTGAACATAATTTACCTATGTTTGGCTTCTTATTACAAAGAAATGAAAAGATAAATTTGAATTTGTTCTGTTTTGTTGTTATTGAGGATGCATATATTCCTAAAATTATGAAATGTATTTTACAGTAAAAGAGCCTATGTTTCTAGCGGTTATAGAATGCCTTTATAAATCTGCCTAACTAAAGAATGCCAATTGCTTACTTCTTAGTTTTCCTTAGAAATTGAGATTTTAAGGGTTAAAAATTTCAGTATACTTAGGAATAACTTTGCGGTGTTCCAGAGAGCCCTTGGAACACCTCAAAAGATTTGCTTTTATGTTAAATTGCATGGGAAGCATTATTTAAAAAATGATCAAAAAAACTCCTAGCGTAGATTGTATGGGTAAACAATGGTTGTAAATTAAATGAATGTCAGGACTATGGGCAATCCAGGACGGCTACTTAGTTCTTCAATGCTCCCTGGCAAACCCCATTTTTCAGTTTTTGCCTTCCTTCATGCATCATAGTGCTTTAAGGCTGAACTTAAATTAGATGAATGTTGGAAGATTTCTCACATAAGGAACTTAGGAGCTGACAATATTGAAAGGAGGAGCAAGCATGTCAAACTCGCAGCCAGGAGGCCCACAAGTTTGACATGCCTGCGAGTTTGACATGCTTGTGTACACTATTGTCAAGGTTTGATCAAGTCACTTTAAGAAAATGCCAAGTTGGTATTGCTTCCTTTCACAGTGAGCTCCCAGGAGGCAAAAACTTAAAGGTCATTGATTGGCACTAAGATATTTTGTTTTTTGGAAGGGACATAAAATAAAAGACATTCTCCAACTTCATTGAAAGGGACCTTAGGCACCTAACTGTGAATGGACATCTACCCCTGTCGCTGACACCTCCACCTACAACTCCTTCAAAGACTCCTCAAGGGTGAGTAGCTACTGACAACAGAAGTAGACAGCTACCCAAGATGTTGCCAGGCCAGTATCCTTACAGATTGATAGTGAATTCAGAAACTATTTAATTTTCTTTACCTGTCAGCTAATGATATCTAATCTAATAAAAGAGAAACATGTAAATTGATCATACCTTTGCTATGCCCCAAGCCACGCCCACCAGCCAATCAGAGCAACTATATGTAAATTAACCCAACCAAGATGGCGGCCGGCAGCCACGGAGCTGGAGCAAGCAGAAGGCTTGGTTGCCTCAGCGATGGAGGAAGCCAAGCTTCTCTCCTGCCCTGGCCGGCTGTGGCCTCCACTAAAGGCAACAAAGTTTCAATTATAGAAGATAAATAAATCCCAGATACCTGCTTCCAGCCAGCCTCCACTGGGAGGTTGGGTGGCTGGGGGTCATGGCCAGCCTGCAAACAGCCATCAGCCCCTCACCCAGGCTGGCCAGGCACCCCAGAGGAGACCCTCACCCTGAAGTGGCTGTGGCCAGCCTGCACACAGCCATCAGCCCCTCACCCAGGCTGGCTAGGGACCCCAGGGGACCCCCACCCTGAAGGGGCTGTGGCCAGCCTGCACACAGCCATCAGCCCCTCACCCAGGCTGGCCAGGCACTCCAGCGGAGTCCCCCACCCTGAAGGGGATGCGGCCAGTTTGAAAACGGCCCTCAGCCCCTCACCCAGGCTGGCCAGGCACCCCAGCGGGACCCCCACCCTGATCTGGGACACCCTTCAGGGCAAACCAGCCAGCCCCCACCCATGCACCAGGCATATAATAAAAGGGTAATATGCAAATTGACCCTAACAGCAGAATGACTGGGAATGACTGGTCACTATGACACACACTGATCACCAGGGGCCAGACGCTCAATGCAGGAGCTGCCTTCTGGTGGTCAGTGCGCTCCCACAGGGGGAGCTCTGTTCAGCCACAAGCCAGGCTGACGGCTGCCAGCACAGCAGTGACAGTGGGAGCCTCTCCTGCCTCCTCAGCAGCGCTAAGGATGGCCAACTACAGCTAAGGCCTGGTCTCCACTGGCAAGTGGACATCCCCCGAGGGCTCCTGGGCTGCCAGAGGGATGTCTGACTGCCAGCTTAGGCCCGATCCCCTGGGGAGTGGGCCTAAGCCAGCAGGTGCATATCCTCCAAGGGGTCCCAGATTGCGAGAGGGCACAGGCCAGGCTGAGGGACCCCCCCGAGTGCAGAAATCTTTGTGCACTGGGCCTCTAGTTCATTATAATAAATTATACTTGTTCTTAGGGTTTTTCTATATAGTCCAGCTGCTTATGATTACCAAACATGTATAAGATACCGTTAATACTGTTTATGATTTATATAAATGTTATACTAGATGCAAAATACAAAAAAAGAAAAATTAGACTGATGGCAAAACTCAGATCATGAAAGCTCACAGGATAGAAATGATCCAGAGTGATTATTCTCAATGAAGGCCATAAGCCCTGACTGCCTTCCATTTACTTGCTTTTCTCTCTTGGGAAAATTGGGCCTGAACTCGCATGCCATAATTATGCTATTGTTCCATCCGCAGTGATCCATTATTTCAACAAGACAGCATTGATACTGAGAAGTCCTAGGAATGAGCCTTCCCAGTGCTGTGAAACCACACTACCTGACTGAAGGGCTGGTCATCAGTGCATTCTTCTGATTGATTTATGACCAAAAGGGAGACTTGTGGAAGCAAAGTCGCTGCTGTAATAAATCATAAATACCTAACTGGGCAGGTCATGGTGGGTAGTCACCCCCCAAGCCTATAAAAAGGTTTACCTTTGTCTTAAACAAGCCCTGACCATTTTCCTTGTGCATCTAAACCAATACACCTTTGAAATGCCAGAGTAATCCTCTTTTCAGACTCTTTAGAGGGAGGTGTAACCACCCGCAAGGGAGCACATAATTTTGTCAACTATCCTTGCTTTCTGCCCCCTTCATGTCGTCTTCCTTACATTCCCCTGAATTTTAAATGTGTAAAAACGCCTGCAAAACTGTCATTCTCCAGAGCATTTGAGATCTTGCACCTCAGCATGTTGTCAGTTTGGCTCAAATAAACTCTTATAAAAATTCTCTACAGGTTTGGATCTTTCTTACATTTACAACGGTGACGATGGTGAAGATGACAGTGATGCTATTTTGCTGTGGAGTTCTTTGCTCAAAGAAAATCTTGGGGAATCCCAATGCGTTAAACAGAAAAATGCAGTTTGTCAGCTAGATTTGGAGCAGAGGGTCTGGGGCCCTGCTGTCATAGCTCACATCTTGGGCAGATCTGCCCAAGGGGCTCTGAGGGGAGCTCTGCCAGGAAATGACTTCTGAATAGAGGAGAGGGGCATGGAAAAGTGGCTCAAGTCAAATTATGTCAAGGTGGGGGGTTGGCCCATAGTTGGTAGATGTACATAGTTGGTGACAAAGCAGGGGTCAGGTAAAATTCCTCCGCCAGGGCTATGCCAACGGCCTGGAGGAGGGTCATGCTAGGTGACAACAGTGCTATGAAAAACAGAGAATGAACCCCAAAGTCACTACTACAGAAGGAAGAATGGGCACAGAAATAAGATCAAGCAGCCAAAGGTAGCCAATGAGAGGGAAGAGAAATGTTGTAATGAATCCAGTTTTTTAGATGTTAAATATTACCATTGCTTTTTTAGATTATGTTGAAACATACATAACATAACATAAATTTTATCTACAACTGCTTTTTAAATTTTACTATTTTATTAAATTAAAAGATATTTGCACAAAATAAAGAATTCAAACAGTACAAATAATCGACGATGTAAAGTAAGTTTCCTTCCCACCTCAGCTGTCCAGTCCCTTTAGTTCCACTGCCCAGATCCTTGTTTACAGGATAGTAACAGAACTGTGTCAGGTGCCAACAAGCAGTTGTTTTATACATATTAGTCTTTTTCACATAAATAGTCTGTCCTTTGTTTTATTATTTGTTTGTTTGTTTCCCACTGCACAAACCGACCAGGCTTGTTCTCTCGGAGGAGGTTGATAAAAAGGAGAAAATTCAGAACTGTGAAATTCAGAGTAGCTGCCATGTGACGGGAAGGAAAGCAGGCAGGGAGGAAAGCAAGCTGTGGAGTGAGACCTTGAGCCGGATGCTGGCTCTGCCACCGTGGGCACACTCTTCGACCTAAACCACAAGTTTGTATTTTTTTAAATTTCCCACAGTGCCATGGTTCTCAGTGGGGGAGGGGTCAAACCACCACCCAAACAAGGGTGTTCGGGAACAGGGGTACAGATTTTTTTGGTTGTGAAAATTACTGGGGCCGCTAGCGGCACTTTGAGGATCGGGCTCATAGATGTTCAAGACGTTAGAATGTTAGCAGCGGACGGTCACAGCCAAGAATGACTCTGCTCCAATGCCAATAGCATTTGCACTGGGAAACATCAACTTAGTGGCACACAGTAGCACCAAGGCCTTCCATTTCCCATGCGCACAACCCTCACCTCTGAGGGTAGCAAGGCAGCTGTAAGTGCTGTGGATGCTACTGCGGTGGCCGAGGGAATAATAGAGACAGCATTTTCTCTTGCTCTCTCTTGGGGGAAAATATTGTTTTTTCTCCGAAGCTTCCTCTTAGACTTCCTGCTCACCTACTGACTGGGTCACTTGGTCGTTCCTGAACCACTCATGGGGTGTTCCTCTTAGATCACATACTAGTCTGGAGAAGAGGGGAGTGGGCTTCCCCTGAGTGGGAAGGTGGGATATCTGTCAGAAAGGAAGAAGGGAGAATGCGGGCCACTATGTCACAGGCTGCCATAAGGATCCTACAAGGAGATAAAGTTGCTGTCAGATAGTGGGAATGCAAGACATGTGGGTTCCCTTCCTTCTGCCCTTCAAAAATGGCCATTTCCCTGACCCTTCAGTTCTGTCCTGTGGACAAGAAGGTCGGGAAGGCAAATGATGGGCCTCCCTCGCAGAAGCTGCTAGAGGCTCTCAAGGGACATGCAGAAGCAGTAAGTCGTTATCCGTCCTGCACACCTAACATTTCTTCCTGTTCTCGGATAAGAATTGTGTCAAATATATCAAGAACTTACTTCTTTACACATCCGTTTATGTTTGTTATCATAATGAATATTTACAGTCATGCAAAACCAAGACAGAAAAAATCACTAAATATAAGTGAAATGACTTAAAAGTGGCACAAAATCTATGTGAAAATAAAAAGAGAATGTACTAAAGCTTGAAATGTTAATAGATAGGAAGTCAAATAGATTCTAGTGCTCCATTTTTTTTTCTAGTGTTCTCTTTAAAATGGTAGGTTTCAATGGCTGTGTTCATTTCAGGATTTTGGTTGGGTCCTAGTCCAATCACGTCTAGGAACTTTGCAAGTTACACTGAGAAAATATGCAAATCATGTTAAAATCCGGATCATCAGAAACATAAGCAAAAGACATTAAAATAGAAAAACCAAAGAAATTAAGAATAAAAAAATTTGTTCTGAAGGCTTTCTTTTTTTTTTTTAAATATACTTTATTGATTTTTTACAGAGAGGAAGGGAGAGAGAGAGAGAGTTAGAAACATCGATCAGCTGCCTCCTGCACATCTCCTACTGGGGATATGCCCACAACCCAGGTATATGCCCTTGACCGGAATCGAACCTGGTACCTTTCAGTCCGCAGGCCGACGCTCTATCCACTGAACCAAACCAGTTTCAGCCTGAAGGCTTTCTTACTAGCTCTTTATTCCCTTAGATGTAGGGAGGTGGAAAGGCCCTTTCTGCCTTGGTGGCTTTTTAAAAAAACAAACAAAAGCGACGTAATTTGTCTTCAGTGGAGTTCCAGAGAGGGCTGCAGGGGGCGCACACTGTGGCATGTGCCAGACACACATGAGTGCAAATCTTGGCTCAGCAAGTTTACTACCTGGGTAACTAGAACAATTTCTTTACCCTCCCTAGGCCTCCAAGACCTAATACTTGGTTTAATAGTAACTGTCCCGTTGGGCTGTGTGATGATGTAAGTGCTGAGAGTGGTTTGTAGCACATGGTGATCAGTAAGTATCAGCTGTTCTAGATGTCCTTTTGGTTTGGGGTGGCTCAGTGGCTCTGGGTAAGCAAATCTCTTGAATCTCTCCTGGCTTTGTTTTCTCCACTTAGCAAGTCAGTTGTGTAAGACCTCTTAAAGTTCCTTGATCCTATTAGAAGGCACACACATGAAAGCAAAATGAAGCAGGCAAACAGGGTCATGTTTTTTCAAATTCATTGAAAATTTCTTCCATTACCGTATTTCAGTTGATACATGGGGCCAACGATGCTATAGAGTTCCATCCACTCAAGTTATAAGGCATTTTCTTGGAAGTTTCCGTTGCTGTACTTATTAGCCCCTGAAAAATCACTGTGACTTTAATTTAAGCAAACCAAGCTCTTTCAAAAAACTAAAGAAGAGGTAGGAGAAATGTTTCTAAAATGCTTCTGCTCTTTTAAAATATTTTACAATTTATATATTGAGAAAGAAAGGGTTTTCCTCTATCCTCTTAGGTTCTGTAACTGGACCTGAGAATTAAAATGGCAAAAGACAGAGTAACAGGAAAAAAATACAGATTTTTATTTCAGGTTAATATTGAAGGTAATAAAGGTCTTCATATGTAAGCAATGAAGACCCAAAGAAATAGATAGGCCTGAGAGCCCACATACCATTTCAACAAAGGAAGATAAGTTGTGGGGATATGACAAGACAAAAGAAAAACGGGTCTGGGCTAAGGGTGGTAAATTGTGGGAAAGTGCAGAGGAAATATATGGGGGAAAGTAAGGGAAGATAGGGGTTATTTTGGTAGGTTTGCTTGTACAGAGTCATCTCGGTGTTGACTCCTGTCTCAGGTGATAAGAAATGTTCTCCTCTTCCTGGTAGTGGGAGGATAGTTTAAAAAAAAATTATTGATTGATTTGAGAGGGAGAAAGAGAGAGAGAGAGAGAGAGAGAGAGAGAGAGAGAGAGAGAGAGAGAGAGAGAGGTCAATTTGTTGTTCCACTTATTTATGCATTCATTAGTTGATTCTTGTATGTGCCATGACTGGGGATCAAACACTCAACCTTGGTGTATTAGGGCACGGCTCTAACTAACTGAGCTACCTGCCAGGGCTGGGAGGACATTTTGTTCACAGGAAATATATGCCCTGCTTATAGGTAGAAAGGAGGAGGCCAGAGAGCCCTTTCTGCATTTGCTGTTTCTCAATTGCCCTCAACTCAAAATAATCAATGTGCCTATTATGGCAATGTTTGTGTCCCTTGAAAATTTATATGTTGAAATATAACCCCAATGTGATGGTATTAGCAGGTGGGCTTTGGGAGGAGATTAACTCATGAAGATGGAGCCCTCGTGAATTGGGTAAGTGCCCTTTAAAAGAGAGCCCAGAGAGCACCTTCGCCCCCTCCAAACTGCGGGAACACCGCGAGAGGCAACTGTCTAGGAAGCAGTTCTTTCCAGACCCTGAATCTGCTGGCACCTTCATCTGGACCTCCAGCCTCTGGCACTCTGAAAAATAAATGTTTGCTGTTTATAAGCCACCCAGTCTTGCTTTTTTTGTTGTAGCAGCCCAAATGGACCAAAACAATGCCAGAGTACTGTATTTGGGGCAGCATGTTCCGATCCCCTTCATGGTTTCGTGCTATGTAAATAATATTATTTACTAGCCAGTTTAACCATCAAAAAATAAAATCAATAGTGATCAAGGAATAATAGTATGACAGAAAATGGTATTAATCCGGAGGCACAGTGTCAAAGATTAAGAACTAAGAGAATGTGTTTTTCCTCAATTCTTGCCTTGAGTGAAAAGTTTGCGCAACTCAGTTTTCCTCTTTCAGCCTCAGCTTACACATCTGAAACATTTGAGCTTTAAACTGACTGAGCTTTCTTGGGTCTTTCTAATTTGTTCTGTTCTACATAGCACATTGGTTTTAAAACACCCCTGCAATTTCTTGGACATTCTTCCATCGAAAGGTTGAATCTAATTTCTCTCCTTTTGAATACATTGGCTTCATTCTATTCCTATGGCTTAGGAACAGAGTGTAATTGAAGAGACACTGAAACGTATGAGATCGGGCCATAAAACAAATGGGTTGCAAGTCTGGCTGCCCCGAAGCCCCTCTGCTGGCGACCACACAGAGAGAAGCCCAAGGAGCAGTTCTTACTCAGTGCTGACCAGAGGTTCCAGCCCCAGCAATCTGGGTCTTTCCAGCCCAGGCGCCAGACCCCAGGATCTTATTTTTGTTGTTGTTGCAATGGTAAATGGATTTTTTTAGTTTCTTTTTCTGAGAGATCCATATTGGTGTATGAAAATGCCATCAACTTCTGGATGTTAAATTTGTATCCGGATACTTTGCCAAATTCATTTATTAAATATAGCAGGTTTTTTGGTGGGGACTTTAGGGCCTTCTTTGTCTAATATCATGTCATCTGAGAATAATGACAGTTTAACTTCCTCCTTTAAATTTGGATGCCTTTTATTTCTTCTTTTCTGATTGCTGTGGCTAGGACTTCCAGCACTGTGGAATAAGACTGGAGGAAGCGGACATCCCTGTCTTGTTCCTGATCTGAAAGGGAATACTTTTAGTTTTCGTCCATTGAGTATGATGTTGGCTGTAGGTTTTTCATATATGGTTTTCGTTATGTTCAGGTATGATCCTTCCATTCCCCACTTTGCTGAGAATTTTTATCATAAACTAAAGGCCCAGTGCACGACATTTGTGAACTGGGGGGTGGGGTGGGGTCTCTCAGCCCGACCTGCGCCTTCTTGCAATCCAGGACCACTTGCTCCTAACTGCTCGCCTGACTGCTCGCTCCTTACCACTTGGCTCACTGCTTGGCTCACTGCTCCTTAGTGCTGCGCTCGCCAGCCATGAGCCCAGCTTCTGGCCGAGCAGTGCTCCCCCTGTGAGAGCGCACTGACCACCAGAGGGCAGCTCCTGCGTTGAGTGTCTGCCCCCTGGTGGTCAGTGTGCATCATAGCGACCGATCGTTCTGCCATTTGGTTGATTTGCATATTAGCCTTTTATTATATAGGATTTTATTAATTTTTTTATTGATCTTAGAGAGAGGAAGGGATGAAGAGAGAAAGAAAAAGAGATAAACATTGATATGAGAGAAAAACAGATTGCCTGCCTCCTGCACATACCCCAACTTGGGATCCAACCTGCAACTTGGATATGTAACCTGACCAGGAAGCAAACCCACCACCTTTCAGTGTAAGGGACAATGCTCCAATCAACTGAGCCACACTGGCCAGGGCTTGTTCTTTTTTTATGGCTGAGTAAAATTCCATTGTGTATACACGGTGAGGCAAAAATAGGTTTACAGTTGTTTGTGAGAAAGATAATACAATTAATAAATAATAATGCAAGAATAAACTCGGTGTTTCACATACCACTGTAAACCTGCTTTTGCCCCACGGTGTACGTACCACTGCTTTTTTATCCACTTGTCCATTGATGGGCATTTGAGTGGCTTCCATATGTTGGCTATCCTATCTAATAAAAGAGAAACATGGTAATTGGCGTACGACCGCTACCCTTCCCATTGGCTAATCAGGGCGATATGCAAATTAACTGCCAGCCAAGATGGCGGCCGGCAGCCAGGAAGCTTGAAACTAACATGAGACTTGCTTGCTTCAGTGATGGAGGACTCCAACGTTCCCCGCCTGCCGCTGCAGGCCTCTGAGCTGGCAGTTTGAAACATAGTTACAAAAATAGAAGCTAAACAAAACCCCAGAAACCAGCTTTCAGCGAGCCCGGGATCTCAGAGCTGGAGTTGATACAGAGTTTCGATTGTAGAACCTAAACAAACCAGATACCTGCTTTCAGGAGCGGAGGCCTAAGAGCTGGAGCCTCAGAGCTAAAGCTGGCTCAAAATAAAAAAAGAAAAAAGAAAAAAAGGAGCAGTTGGGAGCTTCAGTCCCAGCCTGAAAACAGCCCTCAGCCCCTCACCCAGACTGGCCAGGCACCCCAGTGAGGACCCCCACCCTGAAGGGTGTGTGACCAGCTGCAAACAGCCATCATCCCCTCATCCAGGCTGGCCAGGCACCCCAGTGGGGACCCCCACCCTGATCCGGGACACCCTTCAGGGCAAACCAGCCAGCCCCCACCCATGCACCAGGCCTCTATTCTATATAGTAAAAGGGTAATATGCCTCCCAGCACTGGGATCAGTGGAGCCGCGAGGCCTCCCGGCACCGGGATCAGCATGAGAGGGGGCAGCGCCCCAACCTCCTGATTGCCCTGCGGCTCTGTGTGTAACTGGGTGCGGCGCCCCAACACCCCCGCCCCCACGGGCCCTGCTCTGTGTGTGACGGGGTAGAGCCATAACCTCCCCATCGGCCCTGCCCTGAGTGTGAGAGTGGCGGTGCCCCAACCCCCTGATGGGCCCTGCTCTGTGGGTGATAGAGGGCGGTACCCCAACCCCCCCACCCCACGGGCCCTGTTCTGTGTGTG